AAGGCCGCCGATGCGGCCATCGAGAAGTTATTTGGCCGACGGCTGTAAGGCTGAGGAGCATCGGCCTTGGTTCTATGAGCTTGTGGTGGCCAGGCTCGAAGATTGGGGCCAGAACTCTCCTGCCGGTCAGGAGTACTTTGAGAGGGAGATGTCTGTTTACTACGACATGGGCCAGCAACGGATGCAGCGACTGATCTACCAGAGGCTTCATCGGTGCTTCACAGAGCTAAAGGACCCAGAGGCTGAGGTCAAGCTTCTCGCGGAGCAAAGGCAATCCCCCATTCTGAGCTCTGATATCGGCGAAGAAGATTGGGGTGATGACGACATTTTTTTGGATACTGCTTCCTCCCAGGCCGATGATGGTTACGGCACGCCTGTCCCTGATGCCGGCGAAGGAGAAGCATGATCTCCCTTCTCTTTTTTTTGTTCATAATATGTAACGGCCGTAGTGCCTGTATATGTAATTGCCGTTCTGCCCTCCATTTTGTACTTTGATTGTTATGAATGGAAATGCTTGGTTACCGATGCCGGCTTTAATGCCTTTTTCGTCTTATGTCACTCCCCCCTAGATACCTCTCGGCCGGAACGAGTCCTAAAAAACGGGAAACAACTCCCCCAGGACCAACGCGACGGCATCCTCAAAATCCTGCGGTCGTATGCAATCCTTTTTGCGTGGGGGCCGGACGATATGCCTGACATCAGCCAGAAGGTGATCACTCACCGGCTGTCAGTCGATCCCGCCTCCGCGCCAGTGAAGCAGAAGCGGCACTACCTTTCGGCCGACAGACGAGACTTTGTCAAGGGGGAGGTCACCATGCTCCTCTCAATCAGCCACATCAAGGGGGTGAAGTACCCAACCTGGCTGGCCAACGTCGTCCTCGCCCAGAAGCCGTCGACGTTCAGAATGTGCGTTGATTACACTGATCTGAACAAGGCGTGCCCCATGGACCCGTTCCCTCTCCCCAACATAGATCAATTGGTGGACGAGATGGCGGGCTGCGAGTTGATGTCGTTCTTGGACGCCTTCAGAGGATACCACCAGATCTTCATGCATGAAGATGACGCCGAGAAGACGGCCTTCATGACCCCGGATGGATTTTTTTGCTACCTCGTCATGGCCTTTGGGCTCAAGAACTCAGGCGCCACATACACCAGGATGGTAGCCAAAATCTTCAGGGCAATCCTCGGCCGGACGATGGAGGCATACGTCGACGACATGATCGTTAAGAGCAAGCAATCTACCACTCATGCTGACGACCTCCGGGAAATTTTTGAAATCATGAAGAAGTTCCAGCTCCGCCTGAACCCCAAGAAGTGCACCTTCGACGTCCATGGAGGCAAGTTCCTCGGCTACATGGTCAGCCGAAGGGGCATTGAAATAAACCCGGAGAAGATCCAGGCCATTATTAACATGGAGCCACCACGAAATGTGAAGGAGGTACAACGGCTGACGGGATGCCTTGCAGCCCTGAACCATTTCCTCTCGAAATCGGCTGAAAGGTCTCTCCCTTTCTTCCAAATCATGCACAAGGCAAACAACTTCAAGTGGACGATGGAATGCCAGCAAGCATTCGAGGAGCTGAAGCAGTACATATCATCCCCTCCCGTGCTTTCCAAGCCCCAAGCCGGTGAAACCCTCTTCTTGTATCTAGGGGTGAGCACGTCGGCCATCAAATCCGTGCTCATCCGCGAGGATGAAGGGGTGCAGAAGGCTATTTTCTACGTCACCAACACGCTACGGGAGGCCAAGCTCAGATACTCCCCCATTGAGAAGACGGTACTGACCATCGTCCACACGGTGAAGAAGCTAGGGCACTACTTCCAGGCCCATGTCGTCCAAGTGTTGACTCAGCAGCCCTTAGGCGCCCTCATGAGGAGCCCCACTAGCTCCTTGAGGATGGTGAAGTGGGCAATCTTCCTTAGCTAGTTCCAGATTGAAATCAAGCTAAGGCCATCTATCAAAGGACAAGCGTTGGCCGACTTTTCCACCGAGTGCACGGAAAGGGAGACGGTCGCTACCATACCCGGGCCAGAGCCAGACAAGACATGGATCCTCTTCACTGATGGCTCATCGGTTGCAAAAGCATGTGGGGGTGGTGTTGTCCTCATCTCCCCTGAAGGATTCAGAGCTTACTATGTCATCCGCTTCAACTTCAGGGTATCCAACAACGAAGCCGAGTATGAGGCCCTCCTCAGCGGCCTCAGACTCGCTGCCGGCCTCAAAGCACGACACATCAGAATCAAATGCGACTCCAAGCTGGTGGTGGGCCAGGTCGAAGGCTCATACGAGGCCAAGGAAGGGAGGATGAGGCAGTAATTTAACCCCAATGCATCCATTTATCCCCAATGCAATTGAACATGCACACTCTATTAAAAACAACAATTTTGATTGGCACAGTGAATGTGATACTTACATACTGCATTGAACATAAAAAAATGCATTGCATATATAACTGCATTGAACATAAAAAAATGCATTGCATATATACTGCATTGCATATATAACTGCATTGAATGTGATACTTACATATAGCTCCATTGCACTGCATAAAATGTGAATGCATTGTATATATACTGCATTGCAAAATGTGAATGCATTATATATACTTATATAACTGCATTGAACATAAAAAAATGCATTGCTTATATACTGCATTGCAACAATTTTGATTGGCACAGTGAATGTGAATGCATTGCATATATAAATGCATTGAACATAAAAAAATGCATTGCATATATACTGCATTGCATATATAACTGCATTGAATGTGATACTTACATACTGCATTGAACATAAAAAATGCATTGCATATATAACTGCATTTTGAGAGGAATTTAACTAATACAATGCATTTGTCTAATTTAACCCCAATGCATCCATTTATAAAAGTTCTCATCTCATAGTACAAAAGATGTCTACAATTTTATCTATATTCATTTTTTATCATTACATTTGAACATGCATACTCTATTAAAAACAACAATTTTGATTGGCACAGTGAATGTGATACTTACATACTGCATTGAACATAAAAAAATGCATTGCATATATAACTGGTTTGAGTAAATCATTTTAACAATTAGTATATTATTATTATTATCTTTCTAGTTCCTGAAAGATAATAATTGGTGTGAGTATGCCATTGAGCAATACTTGGTTGACATCGGATGAGTATAGCTTGATAATAATTGGTGTGTTAGTATGCCATTTGGGCAATACTTGGTTGACACCGGATGAGTATAGCTTTTTATTTTAGGTTCATAACGGGTTGGGGGTATGAGTTTTGCCTAAAAGGCAACTCTTTGGGCAACTCAACTGAAGAGATATGATGTGTCCTGGCTTACATCAAGCCGCTGTAAAAAAATTCCTTCATTGAAATGATACAGATAGAAATGAGTTCAGGCCTTTCTCATTGGTTTGCATGAGCTACAAATATTCATCTAGGTTTAGCGGTTGAGAAGCCCATTCTTGTGTAGATGCATGCTTCTTTGTTTGCTAATCAGTATGACATGTTCAAGAAACTAAACGATGTCCAGACTTTTTCTTCATTTCCTTGAATTTTTAAAATTGTATTCCCATTTGCTTTTATCTTTTCTGTAATTTAAATTACTATATTATGCATTGTAATCAACAAAAGAACATATGTGGAATAGAGAGGGATTATAGTATTTGGTTGTTGCATGTTCAAAGCTAAAGAAGAGGTAGAAGAATTGAACGGTGACCATTTGAAATGAGGTTGATAGTACTCCCTATTTATAGGAAAAATGAATGATCCTTCCTAGAGAAGGTTCACATGTCCCAAGGAAACGAGAATAAATATTTAATCAAATCAAGAAAAATCAAAAAACTAGAAAATAAAAATTATTAATAAAAAGAAATAGAAAAAACAAAAAAATAACAAGTGCAAAAAACAACTGCCATCTCTGCCACCGCTAGCACCATTAGCTCCGATTATCGAAAAAAGAATACCAACATGCATTAGTGAATAGTAATACCATATTGAAGATGGAGTACGAAGATTCTAAAATGGAATTTATTGAAACTGATTTATGAAAAGAGTACAATACAACTTTTAAGTAAGGTTTTAATCAGACTTGGTTAAGTAAAAATAGTTCCCAATAATGTGAACATACTGATGGAATAGCGCATAATAAAAGAGAATTTACCAGAACAATTCAAATTGAGTATAAAAAATATGAGCTTGCAAATATTATCTTCTACCACATTTTCATCAAAGCAGTTTGTATAGTAAACTGCTTTGACCATATCAGCTTTAGTAGCACTTCAGTAGGAAAAATAGCCGAGATTAATGAACCACCAGCCTGTGTTTTGAAGCATGTGTACTAAAACCTGAAAAAAAGAGAAAAAATTCAGCCAATAAACTCTTTCCAGTTCACATCTACCAGAACTCTCATCGATATACTCGGCCTTATTAGCTCCTAAAACAATCACCTTTTGATGGTCCCTGATAGAGGTAAAAGTCTAGAGGGGGTGAATAGACTATTAAAGCTATTTTAACTTTAAAAACTTTTCGCTGCTAGAAAGGATGATCTACAATATTTTGGGAGATTGTAGATGCTCAGCGGAAATCTTGACCTTTAAATACACAATGTATAATAACTTTCTATGTTTGAGTGGAGTTTGGACGTATTTGAGTGAGCAGTTGACTGGGCAGCTGAATGGACTGCAAAGAACTGCTGAGTCAACTGCATAAGGAAAGATGAAGGTATGAAAAAGCTTTTTATGGAATCTTACTCAGAATGATGAGAGATTTCAGGTAATGTTCTTAGCTGAGGTGAAAGTGGAAGTTTATAAGAGCAGTGGTCTGAGCAGTTGGGTTGTCACCAGGGAACTGCTGAGTCAACTGCTTAATAAAAGATGAAGATATGGGAGAGTTTGAGCATGGCAGGGAACTCCTCGTACTTTAGTTTGTTCAGGTACTCTTCATACTCCTGTATCTTCAGAAGAGCTTGTTCAAGATTAGGAGGTAAAGAAGGGAGAGAGGGTACCTGGGCAGAGGGCTCTGCTGCCGGTTGGGAGGCAGCTGACTTAGAGATGCTAGAATCGTATTCTCCAGCTCTTCATCTTTAGCACGTAAATCTACAAGCTCCTTGTGTATAGCTTCAATCTGAGCCGGCTGCTGAGAGAGTTGAATTTTGAGTTTTGCCTTTTGCTCAGAATTGAAGACTTGCTGGATCATCAAGTTGCTCTTGATGTGGCATTGTACTTCTGCAAAACGCATCTCCAGTAGTTTGTCAAAATGCTTCTGCATCTTGATCAATCTTTTGTGAAGCCTGACTTCTGCGTTGCTTATGAATTTTGTTGTTGCTCGCCGTTCTTGAATGAAGACTTCTGCTATTGTAGGAGTATCTTCTGCATCTTCTGTGAGCATTTTCATTTTAAGGTACTCTGATGTAGTCGGTTGTTGCTCAGGAGGTTCGTTATTGGGGTCTGGCAGTGGAGTTGCCTGCTGTGAGATGGCAGTTGGCTGCTCTGGAGCTTCCTTGTGAGTTTTAGATTCTTTCATTACCTTGGAGGTTTCTCCACATCCATGAGTCTCCATTGTTGATTTGGCCAGTATTCCTCCTAGAATTTCATCACTACAGGAAGAGGAGGTGATGATCTGTTTACCTTTGTTGCTTGGAGGTCCCTTGGAAGCATCATCATTATCATCATCCGAATCATCCAGGTCATCACTCGGAGCTGATGATTTGCCTACCAGTTGGCTCCTTCTATTGCTGTAGACTTGATTGATATGATGAAGTTTTGTTGCAACTGCAAGGTCTTCAGTACCCATCCATTGTAGAGCAAAGTCTTCCTCATCAATGAAGTTGTGCAGGGTTTCTGCCTGCTTTAGGATGCGAGATAGATTCCATTTCCTCCACTCCTTTACTCTTGCAAAATCAGCATCCAGGTGCTCTAAAGGTGTTAGTTTGGGTGAGCTGACTGCTGGAGATGGAGGAGCCACCTGCTCGTCTAGTTGAGCCGCATGCTCCTTAGTTTGAGCCGACTGCTCTTGTTGTAGACCATGTAGCTCAGCTTCATGCCTTATCTTGGGCATGAGCACAGATAGTGGGATGGCAGAGCTGTTGCTTTCATTGGACGAGTTTGAGGAGGGCCCTGCTTCTTCATTAATGGTGGTGAGAGGACATGCAGCTGCTTCCAATTCTTCTTGTATGTTTCTGGGAGGATTAAGGGTTGATTCTGTTCTTGACTTCTTTGAATGGACTTCTTCACACCCTGATCTGAGCCTCTTAGCAGTTTTGGTCTTGATTCTGTTGAAGGCAATTTTGAGGAGCTCGTTGGAGGGGACTTCTATTCCTGCTTGAATTTCTGGGGCTCTGACGTGCACTAGTCGTTAGGTGCACTCAAAATAAATAATCAATACAACACTAATACGTAGTATAGTGTAGTAAGGTTCGTATCCACAGGGAAAGGAATATTTTTCTTTTATATAAATAATAACAAGGGGGGTTTAGATTTATTTGGTTTAATAACACTAAGATAAACGACCTATATGAGTTTAATTCAATGAGATGGGGACTTGGTTTTGCTGTTATCCACTTAGTGAAATATTCGTCGATCCCGGTTATATCTTTAACTATCTTCCTCTCGAATACTCAATCGAGGAGTATATCCAGTTCATCGAGGGTAGTTATTAATAACGAGATGCGTTCATTAATAAAACTTACTATCGAGTCAATATAGAACAAGCGCCGTATATTAACTTGATAGTAGCAATAAACTTAAGATGAAAACGATTGAGATTGATAACCTCAACACAAGCGGTTTATTGGTTTAATCAATATAATTAATTCCCCTTGGCATATTAACCATGAGATGCATGCATTAATATTCCAAGTTTACTACCGTTGAAAGAACCGGATTAATAACAAGCGTATTAACCGATTGATTCTAGTAATAATTAATATGAGAAACAATACTAGTTGATACTTTAAGTAATGTTTAAGATATTAACATGAAATATGAATAGGAATTAATCAATACTCAAGGAAGAATATTAAAATATATGAATCCTACTATGATTAATATCAAGATGTTAACTAATTGTCATCTTAGCAACACTCCCCAATATAATCATAGAGGAAGAAATAGCTATTACTATAACCAATGTCAAGATGTTAACTAATTGTCATCTTAGTAACACTCCCCAACTTTGATATAGAGATAGTATTTTGAAAGAAAGAATTAATATTCAAAGAAGAAGATTAAAGAAAATAACTCACAACTTACAAATTCATTAAGCTTCAAATTAGCAAAACCAAGATGGAAGAGTTTAGCTCCTCATTTGGAGACTAAACATGATGAAAAATATAAAGAAAGAGCTATTCTATACTGAGCTTAGATGTACAAGGGATTGGATATCTTATTGTGAAGGAAAGGGGTGTATTTATAGGCTTTTGGGAGCTGCAGGGGCTGATACCCGACCGGGTATATAGGATACCCGATCGGGTATCTTAGGAAATTTCCCGGAAAACCACATTTCTGGACATACCCGGTCGGGTATGTCGGTTTACCCGATCGGGTATGTGACAAATCTTTACGAAAATTTGCTCCCACGATCCTTTGTTCCCGGATTTGATTTGGACAACCGAATCAAGCAAATACCCGATCGGGTATTGCCTATACCCGACCGGGTATACGAGTATTTTTTCCAAATCGAAATCTTTCTTGTCTCCTTGCACTTTCCTTGATCTTTTGAGGTCCAATCTTGATCCCTTGGATGATCTTTGACCTGTTTAGCTCAGAAAAGTCCTAATCTAAACAAATTACAAATAAATATGAAAATAAAGTATTACACCAAAAGTGTGTAATTTCCTCAACTAGAACTAATAAAAACTAGTTAAAAATACAAACATACAATCAGAAATTACATGAATATCAACTCCCCCACACTTAGCTTCTTTACTCGTCCTCGAGTAAAGTCAAATGTTTAACAGTTCCAAGTCCTCAAAAGTTCAACAATCAACCAGAAAAAGCAAAAGACCACCAAGGATAATATATGGGTTTTACATTGAGTGTTCAGCTCAAAGAATAATATCTTCTTGGGTTTCATGGCCTTCTATGCTCATCTCCTCTTTTCATCTTCAAAAGATTAAATGAAGTCCTGTAAAAACAAATATATATCTCTCATATCTCTCATTTTGCCTAGGAACCCTTGCAGGTTTTCATCCTAGCATCTCTTTTATTTTTTATTTTTTTTTATTTTTTTTTCTCCACTCACTCATCATTTTTTTTGTAAGCCTTTTTTGCTTAGATTGCCCATTTGTTGGGTTTTCAACCTAACTAGCATTTCATTTTTTTTTTGCGAAGAAAATAATGCTGGTTTACAAGGTATCAAATTTAAGTACGCACCGATGAGTGACTCCCCCTCACTTAGCTCGAAGTACTGTCCCTAGTGCTCGACTCCATCATAACCGGGCTGACCGGTGCTCTAGATGAGATACTCTCGCCCCTTGTTCTTTGGTGGCATTTTCGCTTGATGCTTTGAATTTTGAGTTACAAATTTCGGACTTGGGGGAGGGTGTAAGGCATTATTCTTGGACTTGAGTCTTTTGGGGAAAAATGTGGTGTTGATGGATATGGGATGTAGAGGGAAATGTGGTGAAGATTTTGGTGGTGGTTTGGAGAGATTTGGTGGAGAATTCAGGGAGTAATTTGAGGTAGAAGAACCGGCTATGAAGGTTTGGGGAGGGTTTGGTCGGATTTGGGGAAGGAATTTGGGAAGAAGAAGGGACTTTTCGAATTAAAATGCTGAGTAATCCCGCTTACCCGACCGGGTAAGTGTGTATACCCGATCGGGTACTCGAGGCAGTGAGCTGCAGATTTGCACGTTTTAAGCATACCCGGTCGGGTAAGTGGCTATACCCGATCGGGTATCTCCCTTTTCTTTGATTTTTGACGCGGGTACTCGGTCGAGTGTGGGAGTCAGTCCCCTTCAATTTTAGCATTTCTAGCAATACCCGACCGGGTGTATAGTGATACCCGATCGGGTATTGCTTATTTTTCAATTTTTTGAATGCTCCCTCGATCGAGTAGTGCCCGGTCCCTTTTCTTTTTGCTCATACCCGACCGAGTATAAGGAGATACTCGATCGGGTATGTCCCCAGATGTTCCAAAACCTGCATTTTTTTTTTTGAAATGTGTAAAAATAAAATAAAACAAGTAAATGTACCTTGCATGGGTTGCCTCCCAAGAAGCGCCTCATTTAACGTCACGGCACGACGCTATCATTGTTTTCAATCATTCAAACTTGGATCATGATAGTTTATTTTCTTCTCACTTTCACTCCTAGGACTTCCATAGGAGTGCTTAATTTCTCGACTCTCCACTTTGGAAATCTTTCCAGGATCAAATATCCAGATTTTCATTGATTCGTGTGGTGGGAGGAATGGGAAGAAATTATCGTTTAGTATGATCAATAAAAAGTTTTTCGACTCCTCAATTTTGAAGAATATTTCAGAAATGTCATTGTCCATTTCAAGTTTATGAGTTTCCCTTAAGATTTTTAGAATTGATGGGGGTACCTCAAAAGATGACAAGGATAGATATTTAACCTTGAAGCTGAGATTATCCTCTTCTTTGACCAGTTGGAGCTCCGTGTCCTTTTCTTCCTCTACTTCTTCTGGATCCTGGATCTCTTTTTGCATTTCCTCTTCATTTTTCAATGTGATTGCAAAAGTTTGCTGTCTAGGATCACATTCTATTTGAGAGGAAAGTTTTCCCGAATCCCTTGCTTCAAGCCTACTCACGACTCCGGCTATTTGACCCACTTGAGATTCCAAGCTCAAAATGCTAGACTTGGTCTCATTTTGGAATTGCACCATGTTTTGTTGCATGGTGGTTACGCTGTTAGCAAGAGCACGAACCATGTCCTCTGTGGACATATTAGAGTCGGAGAATGGATCATACCTCATGTGAGGTACATCATCAATTTGTGCAATGTATTCTTCTTGGACCTTTGGGCAGAAGTCCGTAAGATGTCTGTGAGACATGCAAATGTTGCATGTCTTGGCATCTTGAGCTTTTGAGTTAAAGATAGATTCCTTTATTAGAGAAGTCAAGAAGGAAATTTGACTCTCTAAGGATGAAGTGTTGGTATCCATATACTCATAACTCATGTAAGCTCAGAAAATAGAAGAGCAAGATTTTTTTTTTTTTTTTTAAAAATATATTTTTTTTATATTTTTCTTGATATGAAATAAAAGAAAAATTTATTGCCTTTCCCCGGCAATGGCGCCAAATTTGACGTGCACTAGTCGTTAGGTGCACTCAAAATAAATAATCAATACAACACTAATACGTAGTATAGTGTAGTAAGGTTCGTATCCACAGGGAAAGAAATATTTTTCTTTTATATAAATAATAACAAGGGGGGTTTAGATTTATTTGGTTTAATAACACTAAGATAAACGACCTATATGAGTTTAATTCAATGAGATGGGGACTTGGTTTTGCTTTTATCCACTTAGTGAAATGTTCGTCGATCCCGGTTATATCTTTAACTATCTTCCTCTCGAATACTCAATCGAGGAGTATATCCGGTTCATCGAGGGTAGTTATTAATAACGAGATGCGTTCATTAATAAAACTTACTATCGAGTCAATATAGAACAAGCGCCGTATATTAACTTGATAGTAGCAATAAACTTAAGATGAAAACGATTGAGATTGATAACCTCAACACAAGCGGTTTATTGGTTTAATCAATATAATTAATTCCCCTTGGCATATTAACCATGAGATGCATGCATTAATATTCCAAGTTTACTACCGTTGAAAGAACCGGATTAATAACAAGCGTATTAACCGATTGATTCTAGTAATAATTAATATGAGAAACAATACTAGTTGATACTTTAAGTAATGTTTAAGATATTAACATGAAATATGAATAGGAATTAATCAATACTCAAGGAAGAATATTAAAATATATGAATCCTACTATGATTAATATCAAGATGTTAACTAATTGTCATCTTAGCAACACTCCCCAATATAATCATAGAGGAAGAAATAGCTATTACTATAACCAATGTCAAGATGTTAACTAATTGTCATCTTAGTAACACTCCCCAACTTTGATATAGAGATAGTATTTTGAAAGAAAGAATTAATATTCAAAGAAGAAGATTAAAGAAAATAACTCACAACTTACAAATTCATTAAGCTTCAAAGTAGCAAAACCAAGATGGAAGAGTTTAGCTCCTCATTTGGAGATTAAACATGATGAAAAATATAAAGAAAGAGCTATTCTATACTGAGCTTAGATGTACAAGGGATTGGATATCTTATTGTGAAGGAAAGGGGTGTATTTATAGGCTTTTGGGAGCTGCAGGGGCTGATACCCGACCGGGTATATAGGATACCCGATCGGGTATCTTAGGAAATTTCCCGGAAAACCACATTTCTGGACATACCCGGTCGGGTATGTCGGTTTACCCGATCGGGTATGTGACAAATCTTTACGAAAATTTGCTCCCACGATCCTTTGTTCCCGGATTTGATTTGGACAACCGAATCAAGCAAATACCCGATCGGGTATTGCCTATACCCGACCGGGTATACGAGTATTTTTTCCAAATCGAAATCTTTCTTGTCTCCTTGCACTTTCCTTGATCTTTTGAGGTCCAATCTTGATCCCTTGGATGATCTTTGACCTGTTTAGCTCAGAAAAGTCCTAATCTAAACAAATTACAAATAAATATGAAAACAAAGTATTACACCAAAAGTGTGTAATTTCCTCAACTAGAACTAATAAAAACTAGTTAAAAATACAAACA